ACCCAACGCTCAGAAACGCTGGGGATCCCGATGCTCAACGACCCCTCTGGGAAGCAGTGCTCCAAAATGTTGGGGAACCCAGTGATCAAAGAGCTCTCAGGGAACTCAACACTCAAACAGCCCTGGGTAACCCAACACCCACAGATCCCGAGGAACTCAACGCTGAAAAACCCAAGAGAACCCAAAGCTAGAAAACCCAAGGCTGAACAACTCAGGGAACCCAATGCTCAGAGACATCAGGGAACCCAAACCCCAAAGAAGCCCTGGGGAAACCAACGCTCAAAGACTCCTTGAGGAACCCAAAGCTCAGAGAGCCCTCAAAGAACCCAATGCTCAAAAACATCAAAGAACCCAACCCTCAAAGACCCCTCAAGGGAACCCGACACACAAAGATCCCTCAAGGGAACCCGACACTCAAAGACTCCTTGGGAAACCCCAACTTCAAGAACATCGGGGAACCCAATGATCAAAGACCCCTTGGGGGAACGACACTCAAAGATGCTGGGGAACCCAACGCCCAAAGACCCCTTGAAGAACCCAACACCTAAAGACCCCCTGGGGAACCCAACGCCCAAAGACCCCTTGGAGAACCCAACACCTAAAGACCCCCTGGGGAACCCAACGCCCAAAGACCCCTTGGAGAACCCAATACCTAAAGACCCCTTGGGGAGCCCAACGCCCAAAGACCCCTTGGAGAACCCAACGCCCAAAGACCCCCTGGGGAGCCCAACACCCAAAGACCCCCTGAAGAACCCAATACCTAAAGACCCCTGGGGAACCCAACGCCCAAAGACCCCCTGGGGAGCCCAACGCCCAAAGACCCTCTGGGGAGCCCAACGCCCAAAGACCCCCTGGGGAACCCAACGCCTTAAGACTGCTTTGAGAACTCAATACCCAAAGACCCCCTGGGGAATCCAATGCCCAAAGACCCCCTGGGGAACCCAGCGCTGAACATCTCAGGAACCCCAACACCAAACAGCTCAGAGAAACCAAAGCTGGAGAACCCAAAGACCCCGGCGTAGAACAACCCGGGGACCCCAACGCTGGGCATCCCAGGGACCCCAAGGCAGAACGTGGCGGGGCAGCCCCCTCCTTACCCTCCCTCCTTGTTCTCCTCCTCCGCGGCCGTCTCCATGGCCTCTGCCTCCGCCTGCTCCCCACCGACCTTCTCCTGCTCGTCGATCCAGTCGGAGACGGCCTTGAGGGCGCGCTCGGTGTGCGACACCATGTTCTGCACGGCCTCCAGCTCCTCCTGCGTCGGGTACACGGCGCTGTGCTTCGCCATCACGTGGCGGTCGTCGTTCACGAAGATCCGCATCAGGCGCTGGGAGAAACGGGGCACAGCTCGGCTCAGCTCAGGGCCGGGTGCTGGGGGGGGGAATAAGGGGTGTAGAGGGGGTGGGAAGAGCAGGGCAGACCCTTACCATCGTTTGTGGGCCCGCGGCCGTGCGAAGCTCCTGGGGCTGCTCACAGCGACGCTGCCAGCGCAGCGCGCCGAGCGGGAGCGCGATCCGAACAGAGCTGCAAGGAGAAAGGCCGCCGGCAGCTCGTTAATCACAGCTAACGAGGAGATCTGCTGCTGCCCCGAGGCTTAATGAGCGCGGCGGCGCTCGTTAGCCGGCCGTGGGGCCGCCCCCCATCCCCGCCGTTTGGGGTCTCTGCGGGATGTGGGCTCCGCGGTGCCGTTCCCGGGTGATGTCTGTAAAGTTTGGGGTCGCCTTTATGGGAAAATTCCCCGTTTGTGGCACATCCCCGAGCCCACACAGCTCCGCTCCACGCACAGCAGCACCCCGGGGTCGTTACA